GATTTATTTTGTCTTCGTTCACAATGATCATATTGGATTCTCTTAATTAATTCGTGTAATTGATTACAAACACTTTTTACCTAAGATAAGATAAAACGTCTATAATCATTTTTGTTTCTCTATTATTATTTCTTCTCATTTTACTTTAATATATTGTTCAGCCCATTGATGATGAAACTGTTGATTTTCACAATAAATATAAATTGAAAAAATTTGTTGAAGAGAATAAATTTTAGGTATAATTTGTTGACCAAAACTACCACTAACAACAAAAACAATTCGATCATCTGATGAAACTGATTGCATGTATTGTTCACATTGATCAAGATTTTCGAATATTTGTAAACAATTTATAAATGATCGAAACATTGCTTGAGTTTCAATATTATCTTTTGAGTTAACTGAAGCATCAAGCCATATAAGAGAATATGTTTCAAAATTATTATTATTATTATCTTCCGACATAGAACATATCGATTCTGAATAAGATGTCATTAGTTTTATTTTATGGAATACGTATGAAATCTATAAGTTAAAAACATTTTATTTCGAATATAAAAGATCGAGACGTTAATAATAAGTAAAAACTGTTCTAAATTTATAAGTATAATGTCCTTACCTTTCTTAATGGAGACCATCAAAAACATTTTTTCGTTCTTACATTGTACGAAACAAAATAATTAGATGTAGATATATACATCACACTACTCAAAACTAGTAGCAGTCGTGTATGTGATTACTATACCTAAACGACGTAGTAGAGTATGGTTAGACGAGATGTTATTGTTGAAAATAACCGAGAGATATCGCTCTTTCATACTTTTTTATTGGTTTAGTAATATCAAATTTCTTGTATGTTCTTCTCTTATCTTCTCTATAGACTTACTAGAGAATTGTAACAGAATAAAAATTCATATAAATTATTATCACCGATAATTATAAACTCATTTCACCACAAAATAACGATTAAAAAATGGGACTAAAAAGCGAAACAAAATCGAAAAATCTATATGAAATTTGATTTATCTATTTTATTTTTCACTTTTTATTATCACCCCTCTTATCTAGCTGTCTGGCTGAGACGATTTACATAAGGAAAGAAAGAAAGAAAGAAAATAACGTAAAAATGGTTTTGTATTCATTGATAATATTATTTTTAATGGTATGAAAGAGATAAATAGAACAAGAAAAATATATCGACTGATTTGTTCGATCCTTCAGTTTATAACAAAAACATGTCATTATTGATTTTTCTTTGCTATTTTTGTATGCATAAATGATCATTTACAATTATATAAAACGTAGTTTATGACAATCTACGAATATGTTTATTGTATGCACTTTTACTATCAAACGAGAAGACACAAATATTTAAAGTCCTCGATATGTCAGAAAACCCGGAGTCTTCTATTATGTCGTTAAATAAAATGATTCTTGAAACAATAATATAGACAACATATTCTAAAATTTAGGTGCGATTTAAAAAGCCTTTCGCCATTCTTATCTCTATATTGTCATATATTGCATCAAAGTAATTGCCTCGTAAAGATATGATATGAGAGTTTTATTTCAGTATGGTATAAATCTTACCCACACTGACCAATCTATTAATACTAATAAAACTGAGGCTTTATTTAGTACACGCGTGATTAGTTTTTGTAAAGATTAACGTTCATTTTAATTATGGTTCTAAAGAAAAAATTAATTGGATTCCGGAATATGTCATTTCATCGAAACTAGGCTGAGGTAAATTATTCAATCGTTTAAACTTTTTGGTAGTTCTATTCCATCTCGTTCTTCTGTTCCTAATTATGAAATTGATGAAATTCAATCTTCGAGAATTTTTCAAAATCTTTTCTTTGTCTTTTCATTTTATAACATGTCTGTTTTACTCATATGTATTGTTAGGATTTTAGGATCACAATTGTTCGCATAATAAAAAAATAGAATAAGAAAAAAGTTGAATTTATGTCACCAGGTATGAGTGGTGAGTACTTTGCGTCTCTCATGTGATACTAATAATCCATGCGGAAGAAGTTCGATATTCTGTAATGGTAATTATAATTCTGACTTACTTCATGTAAATTATCATTAGTTATTCTACTAAAAAAACATCGCAATTTGGCACAATAATTAAAACTTTATTTTTGTCGACATAAAAGATGATGAGGTCACAACAGTTCATTATGAAGAATATTTGTTGACAAAGGTTTATTGAAGTAGTTTTCATTTAGAAAAAAATACTTCCTATATATATTGTATTTAATTACAATGGTATCAAATAATACAACAATGGTCATCAATGTTTTACTAGAATCAAAATCAATCATCGATATTCTTAATTTTATAACACAGGAAGTTATGATATATGTTCCACTCGTATTGGTCATTTTAGGTTTCATTGGATTTATTGGGAATGTCTTTACATTTCTTCAATCTGAATTTCGTACTAATACTTGTTGCATCTATTTACTTGTTGGTTCAATTGTTGATATTATCAATCTTATAGTTAATCTATTCCCATATTTTCTTGCTGCAAAATATGGATTATATTTTCCATGGTATATATCATCAAGTATGTGCAAACTTAATGCATTTCTTACTATGTTTATACCTCATTTATCTATTAATTTTGCACTTATGGCTATGATCGATCGATTTGCTTGCACATGTAGTCTTACATCATCAGTTAGACGATTAAATCAATTGAAAATGATACCATGGATGATTTGTGTTCTTCTAATATTTAGTGGTCTTGCATCAATCTATGCACCTGTCCTATATGATAAGGCATTTGGAGTACCATGGTGTATGTTCACTTATGTGATGACAGCTAGTATTTTTTACATTGTATTTATGGGTTTCATGCAACCATGTCTTATATTAATATTTGTTTTATTAACCTATCGAAATGTTCGTCGAAGTCGTCGACAAGTAGTAAGTGTTTTAGTTATAATTGTTTGAAATCAATAATCTCGATTTATCTCTAGGGTATAACAAATTTAGCTAGAAGAAATCGTTCTCGAAATCAATTCATTGTTATGATATTTACTCATGTTTTAACAACTGCATTTTTTTCATTACAATGGATTGTTATGTTTACATATGTTTCAATTACTAGTTTTAATGTCAGCAGTTATGACCAGTTAGTAATTATTGATTTTTTCTTTCCTCTTACGAATAATTGTTATTATTTAAACAATGTAAAATCATTTTATCTCTCTATGTTAACATCTCAATCATTTCGAAAAACATTTTTCAAAGGTATATCTCACTTATTGCCCAGATTTACACGTCTTCAATTGCAAGTGCAATAGATCAGCGCGTTGGTAACGAATACAATATATAACTATTATACTTGAACATTTCTTTTTCTTTTTTGTTGTCTGTCTTAAATAAATAAGATCATTATTGTATTTCAATAGATTTTTTTTTGATCTTCAAATCTTCGAAACACCAACAAATACCTCTTTTAGTGAAAAATATTAAAAAGATCTGTGTGTAATTACTTTTCAAGGTATAAATTTATTAAATAATAAAGAATATGTAGTAATTTCATGAAATTAGAATCAAATAACATTCAGGTTAGGGGTGCGTGTGACTGTGCGTGTGGGTAATGGATGAGAAGAATACATACACCCACACCCACACACCCTTGATCGTATATCAAATAAAATATGTTTTACTTTCAATAATTTGTATAAAAAAAGACGGATATGCCCTTAGTTAGTTTTCGTAATTAGAAGCCTTGTGTTTTGTTTTGTGACATCTATAAGATAGAATATATTTTTATGATTATTTCAATGATTAACAATCAATTCTAATTTTAAAATATCAAGTAAAATATTTAATGTTAATAAACCTTTTCCTATTATTTTTTAATAATAATAATAATAATAATAATAATAATAGCTAAGGAATAAGAATAGGAATGACATAGATATTTTAAAATGATTAAAAAAACGTTGAATAACAAAAAGAAGAAAAAAGAAAGTTTAACATATGATAGTTGTCCAATTTTGAAAATTGGTACTAATAACTTTAAATATTTAACATATTAACTGATATAAATATATGATATATTAATTTACTTTTATGAACTATATTTTGAAATAAATTTTTCTTTTAAAAATAAAATCATGTGATATATTTTAGATAATATTGTTGAAAAGAGAATAAAATAATTCATTTCTATTCAAATCAAATCAAATAAGAAGTATTTAGTTTAATAACATAAAAAATAAGGTTTGAAATTCTTCTAAATGTACATATAGATATACAATAAGAATTTCTATATATTATTAATGATCATTGTAAATTTACTGATCGATTATTATATGATGTTTTCTTTTCATAGATTTAATTGAAAATGTATTTCATATGATATAATCTTAATATGCGTGATGTATGTATATGATAGAAAAATGAAATGTAAGATTTTTTTCAAAGAAATTTATTAGTTTTAACTAAAAGTTCTATAAATATTCTAATACTAGGACAATTGATATAAATATATGAAAAAGATTTAAAGAATAAAAAAAGAAATCATAATTTTATAACAACTAAATTATGAATATTTGAATAATTAATAATTGTGTATATATTTTAATTCTGATCATCTAAAAGATGTAATTGAGTATTAGAAACGAGTGAATGTGTTTTGAGTTGTTTTAACATTTCATAAGCAATAGTTTCTTCTGGTTTGTTTCGAATAGCTACTATTTGATAAGATCCACATGGTTGAATACGACGCATTTGTGTAATAAGATTTTGAGCATATGTAGATATGGAAGATGAAAAAAGAGATGATGTTATTAGTGGTGTTTGTAAAACATAGATATCATTTGATGATGTTTTGTTTTTTTGATTAGATAATTTATCAATAAAAAATAAAAATAAATCATTATTTTCCTTAAAATTTGATATTTGAGTAATACAAAAAAGAATTGAAGTATTATTTTGATTTGATTGATGTAGACAAATAATATTTTCTAAACCAGTATATGTGCATGTATTTAATAATTGAACTTCATTTTCATTAATTAAATCAAAATCTGAATCATGTCCTTTTGTAGTTAATGATGTTGTTTGTTCTTTTTCATTAAGTTTATTATAAACAAGTGTTGCAATTGTTTCAATTGAAAGTCCTTGAAGAAGATCAATTAATGGTATATAAATACCAGTTTCTTGACCTAACCAATTATATAATGAAATAGCAGCTAATGAATCCATACCTTGACTAACAAGTGAACGATCAATAAGAATACGATCAACACTAGCTGCACCTAATAATTGTGCAACAGTTCTTTGAGTTCGTTCAATAATCGTTTCTTTTTTATTTATATGTAATTCACTTGAATTATTTTTTCCTGATGATGAAGATGATGTTGATGATGTCTGATCTAATTTCATTTTTTTATAACGTTGTTCAACTATTTTTCTTAGATAAGATGTAGCTAATGTTGAATACTTTCGATGTAATATTTGCCAATTAACAGCAAAAATAACAGGACATGGACAAATCTTTTGAGTTTGATGAAAACATTCAATTAATTCGAATACAGTTACTGTTGGCATTAATTCAAAACCTTGTGTAACTTTTAAAGTACTGAGCATTTCTTTATGACGATGAAACATTCCAGCACCACTTACAGCTGGTAGACTAATTGAAAGTGCTGGTAAATTAAGTTTTGCAAAACGATAATGAGCAAGTGCATCAAGAAATTGATTACCAGCATTATAACCAGCAGATGCAACTTCAAGTAAATGGTTTCGAATTGATGAAAACATAATAAAGAAATGAAGAGGTGCATGAAGAAGTTGTGTAGCTTGATGAAGATACCATGCACCACGAACTTTTGGTGGTAAAACAAGTGATAAATGTTCTTGTGTTAAAGCATTTAAAGTACGATCTTCTGAAACAACAGCACTATGAATAATACCACGAATAGGATAAGAAGTTTTATTAAATCTTTCAATTAAATCATGAACTTGTTGAAAATTTGTGACATCTGCTTGAACAACATCAACATGAGCATTATATTCTTTTGTTGTTTGTTTTAATCTTAACCAATCATCATATTGTGGATTTGAAGGTTGTTCAAGTTGAACTAATGTTCGACGACTCATAAGTGCTATATGTTTAACACCTCGTTGTTCAATCATCCATCGAGACATTGTTAAACCAAGACCACCAAAGCCACCAGATATTAAAATTGTTCCTTCATTACGAACTTCTAATGGAAACATTGTATTATCACTCACAACTATTGATTAAGAAAAAATAATAATTGAAAGAAAATATATGTAAGAGATGATTACCTTTTAATAAACTATTCGATTGTTTTTTATGAATATTTAATGGTTGATCGGATGAAGTTATACGAAAAACTGTTTTACCCATAACTTGACCACTATTGCATCTTAATAATGCTTCTATTACTTGAGATGGTTCATAAGTAACTGTTGGTTCAACAGCACGCAATTTACGTTGAACAAATAAATCAATTGCTTCTTCTAGCATAAGACGAATAAGAGGTGATACATGATCAGCAAGTCCAGCGAAGTCAATTACATGAAAACTACAATCCGATCGTAATTGAAACATTGATAAATTGCTATTATGATAAATATCTCGTTTACCCCATTCAATAAAATTGCCATGACATGCTAATAATTTAATTGATTCTTTTAATAAAATACCTGATAATGAATTAACAATAACATCAACACCTTGTGGAAAAATTCGACGTATATCATTAACAAAAGAAGTATCTCGACTATTAAATACATGTTCAATACCATAATATTCATGAAGAAAACGACGTTTTTCTTCAGTTCCAGCTGTAGCAATAACATGAGCGCCAATATATTGACAATATTGAATACACATTTGACCTGCAGCACCTGTTGCAGCATGAATAAGAACTATTTGATTAGGTTGTAAATGAACACGATATTTAAGAGAATAAATAACTGTTAAAAGTGGTGTTGGCATACCACATAATTGTTCATCAGTAAGTGGACATTCAGATGGAATATGTACAATAAGTTGTGAATTAATCATAATATGAGAATGATATGTTCCATTACCAGTAGCACCTACAATATGATCACCAACTTGAAATCCAGTTGTAGGACACGCACGTACAATAGTACCAACAAAATCTGAACCCGGTTCTGTATCTCGATTACTTTTTGGTTGATTTTCTTCAGATTGTGCAAAAGTACGTGTATGTGGATAAAGACCACGTGTTTTGAGTACATCACGAAAATTAATACCAACACAATGAACACGAACTTCTACCATACCTGGTAACAATTCCTGTTCTCTATCTTCTTCAATCCATGTTAATTCAGAAAGAAAACGAGATTGTGGTACACAAATACGAAATGGTTTTTGATCAGCATCTCGTTTAGGAATAATAGAAATTTGTTCTAATTTAGATTTCTCTTGTTCATTATTATTACCATCATCAACAGATTTTTGTAACATTTCATAATGCCATGTTAAATATTGAACTTGATTTTGATTTGTATCATTATTAAGATGAAGAACAATTTCACACGTATCAGTTGAATATCTTGAATTGATCATATATTCTACTAAAGTTTGAGCAAATATTAATTGATTATTGTTTGATGATGATGTTTGAAGATCAATAAGTTTTAATCGATATGGTTCATATTCAGTTATTGAAGTTCGTGCAAGACCAATAAATGGTGATGCAATTATATTAAGATTCGAATCATTATTAAATTGAGCATGATCCGTAAGAACATATACAAATGGATGAAAATGTGGCGATGTTTTTTGAATTGTTTGAAGAATACGTGAAAATGTTCCACATATAAGTTCTTCATTTTGTTTAAATGCTAAATCATCATTATTTTCATTAAGTTTTACTTGATCAAGTTGCCATGCAAAAATAATAGATACTTGTTTATAAGTATTTAAGAAAACTGGTATTGCAGTACAAATAATATCCAAAGTTGAATTACGAATATCAAATATTTTAATATTTGAACATGGTAATAATAATGATAGATTATGACCAAAACTATTATTATTATTATCATCTTTAATAAATACTAACCATGCTTGATTTTTTCTTTCATCAAGTGTTTGTAATATTTCATTCGATGTTGTTTTTTGACTGATAATTAGTGTACTTTCATTTTGATTTAATGTTGATTCAACAATATTAAATCCTTCGATTTGTTTTAAAAATGTAGTCCATAGCTGAATATTATTTAATTCACAAATATTATTCGTTGATGACCACCATTCATCAATAAAACCAAAAATAAAATCAAAATAAAGAGGAACATGAATTAACTCAAGTAATAAAAGAAGACCATTTGGAACAAGTAAACGACGAAGAGCAATTAAAGAATTTGTTAAATTTTTATTTCCTCGAAGTTGATTTACAGAAAATATAATACCAAATGATTCTATTGGTATTTTTTCAAATGTTTTATTATCATATAAATCAATTGTTTCATCATAAATAATAGATAGATTTGTTTGATTAATTATATAGGTATCAAATGTTTGTTTAGCATTTGCAAGTTGTATTGGATCAGAATCTGCATAATGTAAATCAATTAATAAACCTGTTTGTTGTGATAAATTAAGTAAAAGATCAAGAATAGGTAAAATATCTGAACAATCACTATCAGTTAACCAAAATATACGTAATCGATAATTATATGATGAATTATTTTTAATTTGTTCATATTGTAATTGTAAATGTTGACAAATCGAATGAAAAATTTGTTGTGTTTTAGTTGCACTTATAAGAGTTTTAATTTCTTGAAAAATTTGACCAAATTCATCATCATCAAGAAATATATCTAATCCAGTTTTTTTTCCACTAAGAATATCTTTTAAATGTAAACCATATCTATTTAATATTATTAAAAATGGTTTTAAACGAGGAAAACGTTCAATTAATTGAATAAGACGAAGTTGTGTTGAATGCCATGTTATTTGTTTCGAATATAAAGTTGATGCAAGAGATTGACATGCATTTAATAATGGATGATGTGGTTGTTGTTGATTAACATGATTTAAATCAAGATCTTTTATTGCCATTTGTGCATAATAAGCAGCTAATTCATTAAATGGTTCGATTGATTCAATTAAATCTTGATTACTATTAGAATTAAGTTCATTATTAAGAATTTGATTAGGTGATGGAAGTAAATGTGATATATCTTTTATTATTGCTGAATCAGTCCATACTCTTTTCATACAATAATCTTTTAGAATTGTATCTAAATATGTTCTATGATCTTTATTAGGTAAATCAGTTGTTATATTTAATTTATCATAAATTGTTTTTTCCATTGACCATCGACCAGATTGTACACCTTGAACTTGTTGAATAAAAAGATTTTCCATTGTAAATACTGGTTCATCTATTTTTTTATCCATTGGAAATGTCCATATATCAAGAGTATATATTCCTTCTTGACCTATACCACATATATTATCATGATAGATTCCATGTACTTCAACATTTGTTGATTGATTCATTTTTGTTTTTATTTTACTTGAATAAATAAATTTTTGAATACGTACTGGAAGAAATGTTGTTTCAATACCTGGTAATATAACTAGATATGGATGAAAAGTAGCATCCATTACAGATGGATGGAGTAAATAATAATCATCATTATTATTATTATTATTATTATCATCAAATTCATTTGATAATTCAGATATAGCTGTATTTTTTGTACCACGTAATGTTTTCATTTTTTGAAAACTAGATCCATATTGATAACCTCGTGTTGAAAGATGTGCATAAGCACTTGTTATATCTTGTGTTGACCATGTATCCTTTATTGTATTAAGAGATGGTATTGTTAATGATTTTTGTTGTTTATAATTAATTTCAATTTTACCATGAGCATGTAAAGTAAATTCATTTAATGAATATTTATTAAGAATATTTTGATCATGAAAAAATTCAACAACATCAGCACAATTCATACCTGATGGACGCATACAATCTGGACCAGCTGCTGACCATGGTCGACTATAAATATACCATTCACGCATTGGCATAATTACTTGTGTAAATACTTCGATTAATTCATGTTCATTAAGAATCAGTGCTTTAACAAATTCTATATCTTCAAAAATAATTGTCGGTTGTTGTTGTTGTTGTTGTTGTTCATCATCTTTGTATGAAAGTAATTGATGACAAGCAGCTATTGCAAGTTCAAGATAAGCAACTGCTGGAAAAAGAATTGCATCTTGAATTTTATGATCTTTTAAAAAAGCATGTTGTGGTAAATTAATATTAATAAGACTTTTCCATGTTGGATTTGATTGATCATTTAATTGACGAATACCAAGTAATGGATGAGTTGGTATACGATTAGCTAGACGTAATATAGCTGAATCTTTTGATTCATACCAACATGGATTAAGATGAAATGTATATAATGGAAAATCATCAAAATATTCTTCATGATTTTTCATAGGTAAAATTTGTCGAGTATGAAAATATTGTTGCCATATATGAGATGATGTTGTAAGTTGTACTAAACTAGTAAGTAATGTTATTTGTTCATTTTCTTTTCGTTTCAATGTTGGAAGAATGAGTGGTGATTGTTGTTGATTTGTTAATTCATAACATTCACGAATAGATGTAGCTAAAACTGGATGTGGTGAAAGTTCAAGAAAAACAGTTGGAGCTTCATGTTGTTGAATTGATGCCATAGCATCACGAAATCGTACACATTGTCTTACATTTGACCACCAATAATGAGCATCGACTGGTATCTGATCACTTAATTTATTACCAGTTACACTCGAATAAAGATGAGCTTCAGCACATTTTGGATTGAACATTTGTTGGAAATCTTGCAGAGGAAATCCTTGTATATCTTTAAGTGACGATAACATCTCTTTTTCGATATCAAACCGGTTCATTTGATATGAATGAAATGCATTTTCAATACGAAGACGTGCTTTGAATATATTAGGATACGATATTGAAAGAATTTGTTGTATTTCATCAATAGTTTTTTCATCACCACTTATTGTTACTGCACGTGGACTATTAACAACAGCAATACAAGCAAGATGTTCAATACCTTTCAGAAGTTTGTTTTGTGCTTCTTCTTCGCTCATTGAAACAGCTAACATACGACCATCTTGTCGTGTGTTACGATTTTGAAGACGTGATCGATGATAAACAACACGAACAGCTTCTTCTAATGTAAGACGACCAGCAACAAAAGCTGCTGCTTGATCACCAGCACTATGTGATATAATTGATGATGGATAAATATTCCATGAAACAAGTAAAGCTGCTAATGCAACTTGTATAGCAAATAATGATGGTTGAGCAATATTTGTATCATTAATACGAGAGTCTTGTTCAGTTTTCTTTTCAATTAATTCTTCTAATAATTTCCATTCACCATTATTAACTTTTGTCATTTCTGCATCAATTAAATTAATCCATTTATGAAATAAAGGTTCACTTTCATATAATTGTCTACCCATAGCCCACCATTGTGGACCTTGACCACTAAAAACAAAACATATTTTTTGTGCTAATGGTTTCGTTGGACGTGATATGATTGAAAGGCCTGATGATGCTTGTTCAGTAAGAAAAGCATTGATTTGTTCGTGTAGTTGTTGACGATTGAGGAAAACAAAGATTGCTGAATATGTATAACTAATAGTTCTTTTAAGAAGAAGTTGTTGAGATATACGTTGAAGAAAAGCTGTATCATCATCGTCTATATCATCAACTGGCTTTGTTTCTAACCAACGACTGAATTCAATTAATTGATCATTAAGAGATTGACGACTTTTTGCTGAATAAGATGAAGAAATAAAGTATTTATTAATGAAAAGAAATTAAGAACTTACTTGAAAAAATAAAAGTAAAATATTGTTTACTTTTAATATGATTTCCATTGATATAACCATTTTCAATTGATGTTTTCTTTGATTGATATTCTTCAATAATAGCATGTGTCGTTGTACCACCCATTCCAAATGAATTAACACCTATAGCTATTTTTTCATTATTTGGAAGAGATGGAAATGGTATAAAATTTTGAACAATATGCAGATTATATTTTTGTGCTTCTATTTTTGGATTAAGTGAAGTAAATTGCATATTTGGCGTAATACCACGATAATGCATACACATGGCTACTTTAATAAGTGATGCAACACCAGCTGCACCTTCTGTATGTCCTAAATTACTTTTAATTGAACCTAATAATAATGGTGGATCAAGATTTGATCGATTAAAAAATCGACCTAAAGCATTTGCTTCAATTGGATCACCAACTGGTGTACCTGTACCATGTGCTTCAACAAATAATATTCTTCTTGTATCAAAATTATTTCTTGAATAAATATTTGCTAATAAACGTTCTTGTCCAGCAGCTGATGGTACGACAAAATTTGTTTTTCCTTCATTTCCATCATGACCACTAAGTACATCACGAACAACACAATATATACGATCTCCATCACGTTCAGCATCACTTAATCGTTTCAATAATAAAAGACCAAGACCATCGCCTATAAAAAAAATTTAATTGAAATTTATTTCGAGATAAAAAAGAAAACTAATCAATTGAACGGAATTTACCTTTAGCATAACCATTAGCATCAGCACTAAATGATCGACTTCTTCCATCAGGTGATTGTGCACCAATAAGTGAACTTTGGAAAAAATTTTCTGGTGCAAATACTCCATTAACACCACCACATACAGCCATATCAGCTTCATTTGTACGAAGACATTGTACAGCCATATGTAAAGCTTCAAATGATGATGAACAAGCAACATCTAGTGATACATTCGGACCTTGTAAATTAAAATGATATGATAAACGAGCTGACGCATTATATAATAAAGTATTAGGTCCATGAAATCTTGATCGATGTTCAGGTTTCATACGAGTTGTCGCAAGTGAATGGTCTGTTGAAAATTGCCCAATATGTACTGATGTTCTTGTACCATTTACTTTTTCAACACTATACCCAGCATCATCAAGTAAATGAACAAATTTAAGCATAAGTAATCGATGACATGGATCTATACTGCCTGCTTCAGCATCTGATAAATCAAAAAAACTTGCTTCAAACATATCCCATTGATGATTTGACATAAAATAACCAGCACGAAGAAGTTTTTGACGAAATTGTCCATTATTATCCATATTAAGCATATGACCAAGATATGATTCAAGATCAAATCGATCACGTGGTGTTGCACTACCAACATCACGACTTTCTTTCAACGCATGCCATAAATCATGCGAAGAGTGTATATCACCTGCGAATTCACATGCTATACCTATTAAAGCTATGGGTTCTAATGATGTATTATTAGAATTTGCAGTTGACATTTATATTCTTGTTTAAATATGATTTTTCTCGATTAAAATAATAAATAAAAATCTTTTGATTTTTATATCTAAAATAAATAATTTGAGTTAAAATATTATATGAAAAAATAATCTAAGATTAATTTAATTTTTAATTGGAAAAACTATTTGAAAAATAACTATTCGATTTCTACAAATACGATTCTAATTAAATAAGATTAAGAATTTTGTTTTTTTATTAAAAATATTAAAATTATTTTCCAATAATTTCTTTCGATGAATCAAATTTAATTCATATTCACATACAATTTATAAATCTCTCCACATTGGACTTCTATTGTCTTTTGTAAATTATAAATTTGTACATGAATATCTAATGCGATCTATATTTTTCATGCCATAGCTAATATTTGATTAGTGTATAAGTCTCTATCATAGTATTCTAGAATGTGAAATTGATTGTATGTTCTTATGTGATTATAATATTGTTAAGTTAATAAAAACTTCTATCCTTTCCTTTTTAAACTACATATAATTTGTTACAAGTAAAAAAAACCTAATAGAACAGAGTTATTACATATGTAATTTTTACTCAATAATTCTTAAACAACTATATTATATTAATGTCTATTTATAATAAATATATATCATACAAAGTAAATTAAACAAGTACATAGATTTGAAATCGATAAAATTCCATTCTACTCAAATGAACTATACTTCTATTCATATATACTAATTTTTTTCTCTCTCTCCTTTCTTTCTGATCCTTTCCTCCCCTATCTATATATGTATATCTTAAATGCATTCTTCCCTATGTTAGTCTTATTCTTATATACTATACCACATTCATATAAAACGTCTTCAGAGAAGAGTCTTTTTATTTTCTCAATTTTAATTTATGTAAAAGAGAAGAATATGTTCAAAGTTTTCTCACCCTTATCATAATTATATAAAACTGTAAAGTAATATGTTAACGCTACGGGGAACAATAAACTTGAATATAAAAAAAAATAAAAATATCATACAAAGTAAATTCAATATATAAAGTGAGCTACAATTAAACAAGAAGAACTAATGAATTAATTTATCTATTTTGCGTTCATTTTGAATAGGATGAACTTTTACCCTATGAAGAAGTTTATATAAATATATATATAACGGATATCCCATAATAAATGTTACATTATTGTATCTCATTTTTCTATCAATTAATACACTATGTGAAAAAATAAAATATACCAGAAGATGCAACGTCAAAAGCTCTATAATTTACAAAGGAAAGTTTCTGTTTATTACATACCTTTTCTTTTGAAAAAAGAAAAATTCTCTCGGCTCAGTTCAGTTGTCGCAGTGGCAGAAAATGATCTCATACAATTTTTCTTTTTTTAAAACAGAAGATATATAATAAAAAGAAATTTTTCTTTGTGAACTGTAGAGCTTTTGACGCTGCGTCTTGTCGGATGTATTTTTCTTACAGTGTATTACTTGATAGAAAAATGAGATACAAAAGTGGGTCATTAATGATAGGACACCCGTTATATATACATATACGTATATGAGAGCTTTAATATATACATTTTTTTCAAAACAACTTTTTTGTTACGGTCACGGTCACGCTCACGGTCACGTTCACGTTGACGTTCACCTTTACCCTATATATTTTATCGTAAAAAGATCATGATTATAATGGCCATATTGATGTATTTATATGATAAAATCTCTTCCATATTCTTCAAATAGTTTAATTAAACGATTATATTTTATATGAAAATATTTTCTGTATAATTTTCTTAGAATTTTAGTCTTACTTTTTTAAATTAAACCTCATTACATTAAATATAAGAATATCTAATCAAATTAAATATGAATATGTTATTCGAGTTAAATCAAATCTTTTCATTTTTTTTCTAAATAATTTCAATAACATTATTAGCTTTTTACTTCCATTAGTACTAAAATTGAATAAATTCTGAGAGTGATTTAGATCTTATTGATTTCAATTGTTCTTTTTTTTAAGAAAAAACTATTTTCCTAAGCTTAATTTTAGTCTTAACAAAAGTAAAATATTTATTTGAATAAAATAAAATAATGAATATTCAAGAGAAGAATATTATTTATAGAATAATTTTCTAATACTAATCTATTCAAAATATAGATATTTTAGATTCTAGATGATTTATTTTTTCTTTATATTATATATAATATTTATATATAGCAAGTTTAAACATCAAAGTAATTGTTCTAAAAAAACTTAAAATTTTTCCAAATATATTTAATTATAGAAATTATTTGAATAAAATTCTACTAAATCCTTATGATTTTAGAAGCATTCTCTACTAAAATGATAATATGTAAATAAAATTGTATTAGTTGATCGATTATCTTTAGATGCCTTTATAGTTAAAGGTCAAAAAATAAATCTATTGATGAATAAATATGTTCTGATAAAAGTAATTATATTTTATCTTATCTCTGTATAATGAAACCTTCAATCACTATGATCAGATATTTAATCGAATAGTATTGTCTTTATACTCTTCGGGCAGATATATTTGATGTATAGGTGGATACAATAAGATAAAAATCAGTCGTATTTTATTTTCCTCATACAATAAATATGAAATTGTCGCTATATATTGAAGCAATAATATGTTTTAGTTTATAATAACGGCATCAATTATTTTTAAACATCTACATAACTAAAAGTTATTATCGTACTTGTACAGAAAGCGAGAGAAAAAATGTGTATCATCGATTTGATGTAGAAATATAAGAGGTAAAACTAGTATGAGTTATTTTCTATTTTTCTTGCCTCACAAATAAAAGGTTTTTCTTAAATATTAAAGTAATTACGTATTTTACATGTTTAAAATAATATTTTCATTGATTATAAATGACTGGTTATTTAAAAGTAATTATTTTTCGTGTCTATATAAAATAGAAAGATTTGTCGAAGATTATTTTATATAGAAAAGATGGAAAAAATAAGATAAATGTGAATTATTGTATGGTCTATTTCCAAATAAAGTACAAAGTCTGATATAATAAATTGAACTTATTCCATTTTTTATCAATATATCATATATAGATTACAGAAGAACTTAAAATCTGGGAGACGTTAAAATGAATATTTTTTTCTACATTTTATAAGATAAATTGAAGATTTCAATCTAATTTGAGACAAATCAAGAGCAGGTGAGAATAAGAAGTCTCAGGATGAAAATGAAAAGATAAGAACGTGTGTCTGGAAAAGAGTGAGGAGTCATTTTCTTTTCATCTTATCTATTCGTGTACGAGAAAAAAAATACATTGAAGATTATTTATATGTATGCAGGTATAAAAAATAAATTTAATTTTCTTATTTTTCTTTTCTTATTATATTTTGTCTTTAGTTATTATTTAATTTATAGTAAAAATTAGATTTATTTTGTTAATTCTAAAATATACGTACATATATATATATATGAGAAAATTGTACAAATAGATAAAAATATACACAATTTATTCATAGAAATAATCAAAAAAAAATGAAATATATCTGTTATTTAGAACTTTATTTATATAAGAAATTTTTTTATTACAAAGATGATAATTATTTAATTATTCATATATATATATATGTTGCAGGTGAATTTAGAATTTAGTTGAGATTGGAATTCGCTATTATAGCATAAATATTGTGATAAAATAATTTATATGAATAAACTTTTTGTTTTTGAAGATATAAGATCATTTGCTTGAATATATAATTAGAAAGACTTCAATGTTTTTTTATCTTCTCGAAGAAAATTGATATACAAGTGATGTTTATTTTTAATCGTCGGGACATTGGGACAATGTTATTTTCTCTTATCTTGTTGAAGAAAAAAAGATTTGCATGAGGTGTTTTGTTTAATGGTAAGAAAACTGATTGATTTTAGAAGTCTCAGTGATCAGAAAGTTTTTTTTACTTTGAAAGAAATATTGTTGTGCTTTTTCAAATATCTGAGAACTAATATACCGAATGTTACGAGGATATTCTTGAATTAGTAGATGAGCTTCGTACTGAAGTTATGTTTTCGTTATATTATTTGTTTTTTTTATCTTGCTTGTCTATATATAGAATTTGAATAAATGGATGCTAATGTATTTACATGAGATATACTAATAAATATGTTTCTTAGCCATTTAAAGGCTTGTCAGCTATTTATTTACTATGAGTTTATTTTTTTAGTAGGCAATTAATCTCTAGCACTTTTTTACATACCTTCTTGGCTATTTAATGATTTGTTTGCTACTTAAAAACTTTGACAACTATTTGTTTACTATGAATATGTTTCGTTGATTGCCAACTAAATCTCTAGCAATATTTTAAAGATTTGCACATTTATTTAACGAAACTCGGTAGCTATTAAAATCCTTGTTAGTTGATTAATATACTATGTTTGACGAACAGTTATTTGCTGGATATTTAATAATTATTGTTTGTTTTCAGGAGCAGCTATTTGATCTAAAAAGTGATATTCAATAAATCTTTCTAGTTATTTAAAGACTTTCCAGCTATCTAAAGTTTCAAACTATTGAAAACTATATTGCTATTTAAATGAGTGCTATATATTTATTTAACGCTACCGATTTTTTCGAGCAGAGGGTTCGAAAAAAAATGATTTCTCATTTTACAATTGACCGAAAAAAAAAGGAAATAGATTTTATATTTTATAGTTTTACAGAGATACGAACGAATGAGAGCATTGTATTGATAGATTTTGATATATGAATAAGATTAGATTGAATATTCAGTAACGATTGCCACATCATATTTTGTAATTTTGTAAAATGCTGATGCCATTTTTTATTGTAATTATTATGAGACATACGAAATGAGTATATGCGTATTTATATAATAGTTTTGAACGTAATCTGAACGTTGATATATAATATTCTCAGTTAGTTTCAACTAGAATTTTTAAATCTATATGTGTTTTTACACACTGTAATAGAATGAATTTTATTTTCTTATTTAAGTAGTCATAAAGCTT